TTTTTTTTTTTATAAGTTTACAATTGTGAACATTTCCTTAAAAAGTCCAACAGTGAGAACTGTAAAGCTGTTTTGATGAAATCATACACTTCAGTTCAGGAATTATGGATGAGTGGTGTCTTCTCAGCAGTCAAAATGATTTTATTTTTGTTTTGGTCATACAATATTAACAATCTTGAGTCACACAAATAAGTAGTTGGAAGTGATAATCATTTTTTTTTTTTTTTTTGAGTTGGAGTCTCACTCTGTCGCCCAGGCTGGAGTGCAGTAGCATGCTCCTGGCTACTGCAGTCTTGACCTGCTGGGCTCAGGTGATTCTTCCACCTCAGCCTTCCAAGTAGCTGGAACGACAGGTGCATGCTACCACGCCCGGCTAATTATTTTTTGATTTATTGTAGCAATGAGGTCTCACCATGTTGTCCAGGCTGGTCTCGAACCTGTTGGCTCAGGCAGTCCTCTCACCTCAGCCTCCCAAGATTACAGACTTGAGCCACTGTGCCTGGCTTATTTTTTATTTTTTGTGGAGTTGGAGTCTCACTCTGTTACCCAGACTGGAGCACAGTGCTGTGATCATAGTTCACTGTAGTCTTGTGCTGCTGGGCTCACACAATCCTCCCACCTCAGCCTCCCAAGAATCTAGGACTACAGATGCTAATTTTATTTTATATATATTTTAATTAATTTTTTTTTGGAGTTGGAGTCTCACTCTGTTGCCCAGACTGGATGCAGTGGCACACTCACGGCCACCCCAGCGTTAACCTGCCGGACTCTTGACGATCCTTCTGCCTCAGCCTTCCAAGTAGCCGGAACTACAGGCACGAACTACCACACCTGGCTAATTTTTGATTTAGTGTAGAGAGTTGCCCGGCCTGATCTCAAACCCGCAGGCTCAGGCAGTCCACTCTCCTCAGCCTCCCAAAGTGCTGGGATTATAGGCTGGGCCACCGAGCTCAGCCTATTTTTTATTCTCATGGAGATGGGGGCCTCACTATGTTGCCCAGGCTGGTCTTGAACTCCTGGCCTCAAGTAATTCTCCACGACCACTTCCTAATGTGCTGGGATTATAGGTATGCCCAGCCCTATATTCATTTTGTTTGTTTGTTTTGTAAACAGTTATTTTACAATCTCAGATAGTCTTCAGTTGACATGATCCAGAGCCCTGGGGGTGAATAGGTGGAATAAGAATAGTGAGCATTTATTTTTATTTTACTATTATTTTTTTTTTAATGCGAGTTCTTTATTTTTTAATTTAATTTTATTTCATTTGGAGTTGGAGTCTCACTTCGTCACCCAGACTGGAGTGCAGTGGCACACTCCCGGCCACCACAGCCTCGACTTGCTGGGCTCCGGCGATTCTTCCGCTTCAGCCTTCCAAGTGGCCAGAACTACAGGCGTGCGCTACCACGCCTGGCTAATTTTTGATGTAGTGTAGAGATGAGGTCTCGCCAAGCTGCCCAGGTGGATCTCGAACCCATGGGCTCAGACAGTCTACTCGCCTTGGCCTCCCAAAGCACTGAGATTACAGGCTGAGCCACCGAGCCTGGCCGAATAGTGAGCATTTAGATGGAGCTTTTGTTTTTTGTTTTTGAGTCAAAGTCTCACTCTCGTCCAGGCTGGAGTACAGTGGCACACTCACGGCCACTGCAGCCTTGACCTGCTGGGCTCTAGCCATCCTTCCGCCTCAGCCTTTCAAGTAGCTAGAACTACAGGCATGTGCCACCATGCCCAGTTAATTTTTTTATTTATTGTAGATATGAAGTCTCTCTGTGTTGTCTAGACTGGTCTCAAACCCATGGACTCAGGCAATCCTCTCACCTCCACCTCCCAAAGTGCTAGGATTACAGATGTGAGCCACCACGGCCGCCCATAGGTGGAACATTTTTGATCCAAGACAACATGGTAGACATGGTCTAACTGTTTTTGGCCTTCTTTACCATGGAAACAAAGAGAAGTGGCACTTGGAACTCTGAGTACTCAGACTGTAAGATGCAGTTCTGACACTCAGCATACTTGAACCTCATTTAGTGAGAAAACCTCAGCTGATGTGAGGCTACTTATTCCTCAGACTTCACTTAGCATGAATGCTGATGAGGTTTGCTGGGGAATTTGGCTGTGTTGAGGCCAGGCTGGCGCCCTGGGTCCTTGGTGCATGTGCTAGCACACAGTAACGTTGGGCATCCTGGGCCTGCCTGGCATTCTTGCACCATGCAAGAGACGTTCTCTTCGGCTGAGAGGAGCAGGTGTCATAGGAGTAAGCATGGACGTGGCATCGCACCACTACAGGTCTCTGGGAGAATTATCCTGGACTTCTAGAATCAGCTCTCTTGGTTGTGGTGGCTCCTTTCTTCTTTTCTTTATTTTTTCTTGTTGCAGGGCATAACTTCCCTACTGGCATCATGTTCCTGAAGAATGGAGGGGGCACATTGTGGCTGATGTCTTTCCTCTCTGACTTAGCTTCAGGAGCTGTCCCCTGGGGAGGGGCCTGCAGGTGTTGATGCCTGTGGCATTTACATAACTGTTGACAGAGTCAGGAACGTACTGTGGGAGGGGAGCAAGCCCAGGCTCCCCACCCCTGCCTGCTGTCTAGGCAGCTGTCACAGTCAGGTGCAGGCAGCACTGCTTTTCTGAGGCACTACTTAATTTTTCTCTTTTTTTTTTTTTTTTTGAGTTGGAGTCTCACTCTATCGCCCAGACTGGAGTGCAGTGGCTACTTCTGGCCACCGCAGCCTCGACCTGCTGGGCTCCGGCGATCCTTCCGCCTCAGCCTTCCAAGTAGCCGGAATTACAGGCATGCACTACCACACCCAGCTGATTTTTTGATTTATGGTAGAGATGAGGTCTCGTCTGCCCAGGCGGGTCTCGAACCCGTGGGCTCAGGCAATCCTCTCACCTCAGCCTCCCAAAGGCATGGGATTACAGGCTGAGCCACCGAGCCTGGCTAGTTTTTCTCTTTATGAAGGTGGCAAGGTGTCCAGGTGGAGATGGTCACAGGAGTCAGCGCTGTTTCTAACATGGAATGAATGACTTCAGCAGAAGTGTCTGGGTTTTTTGTATGGATAGATGTCTACTCCCTCGCCAGCAGTTGTCTGTTTTTTGCTAAGACATTGCTTTTGCTCAGAGTAGTTCCTCCACTCCACAGGCAGTTTATCGAACCAAGGAGAGGGAAGGGAAGGAGAAGCAGGAGACAGCCTGGTGATTGGGGTGCCGTGCAGTGGGACCCGCAGGCCTGCGCAGGTGCTCTGGGGAGGCTCTGGCAGAGGGGGCACAGCAGGACTAGCCTCCTTGATGTGCTCACTAGAAGTCCCCGTGCCCACATTGGTTTTGTGTTGGCCGAAATTTGTGAAATATTTTTTCACATAGTCTTGTGCTCTTTGAGAATAACGAAACCTCCCTGGCTGGATCTTGAGGAATCTCTGGTGTGATTGAAGATACTGGGCTGAGGGCTGTGGTCCCCACTGACATGCTGCACACATCTCCGCTTGGTCTGTGTCTAGTGCCCTGGTCTTTGCTTGTCAGTGCTCCTGTGACTACTGATGTCCTGCCTTTTCATGGGAGCCACCACCATCCTTGCTAATTGAGGGCTGGAAAGTTGCATTGTTAAGCTCGATGCCAAGAGGAGGGAATGTGTGTTCACACGTGTGGCACTGTCATCACCCTCATTTGGTGGTGAGGCCAGGATGCAGGTGTGTAGCACAGCCAGTGGCCTAGCAGCATCAGAGTGGAGTGAGCTCTGTGCATGTTTTGCAGCCTGGCCCTTAGTGACTTAGTGACTTGGATCTAGGGCCTCTTCCCAGTTCAGGTGCCCACAGAGCCAAGGAGAACCTGGAGACGTGGTGAGTGGGACTGGGCAAGGGCCTGGAGGGAGCTTTGACCTCCCTCACGGGGCCTAGGCCAGACGATCTCCCCAGCCTCATGTCTTCACCAGCCCACACTGGGGTTCCTGGTGCTGAGGCTTCTGGCCCCCCGGCATGTTCTGCATGCTGAGCCGCTCCGGGCTGGTGCCACCCAGTGCCAACTGCACTACCCACTTTGGACTTAGAGCCGGAGTAGCTGTGTGCCTGCTCCTCCTCCAAGGTCCCATTTGTGCACTGAGCTGCAGAACAAGGGGTTTCCCGCCTGGTCCAGTCCTGCCTGGTGTCTTCTCCCCATTGTGATGGAATCATCACAGCTGTGCTTCTCTGGTGGTGCCAGGTACCATTCTGGGACTTGGTGTGGTTTTTTTTTTTTTTGAGTTGGAGTCTCACTCTTGTTGCCCAGGCTGGAGTGCAGCAGCACACTCACGGCCACTGCAGCCGCCTCCTGCTGCACGTAGGTGATCCTTTTGCCTCAGCCTTCCAAGTAGCTGGAACTACAGGCACATGCCACCACATCTGACTAGTTTTTGATTTATTGTAGAGACGAGGTCTCACCAAGTTTTTGCCCAGGCTGGTCTCAAGCCGTGAGCTCAGGCATTCCTCTCCCTTCAGCCCTCCAAAGTGCTGAAATTACAGGCTGAGCCACCGCACCTGGCCCTTGGTGTGTTTTAACACATGTATTTACAAAGGATGTACCCAAAGCACAGAGGAGTTAAGTTACTTGGTCAAGATCTTAGCAGTAAGTAGTAAAGCCGGAATTTGAACCATGGTATTAGGTTGAGCCTAGGGACTGAACTTTTGCTGGGTGTGTTCGCATCCAAGCTGCCCCCTTTCCTGTGTGGACTAGCAGGCCGTGCTGCTGCTGAGTGGGGTATGCCCGACAGGGTCACATGCCATCTCAGCCTTCCTCAAAAGGCATTTCCCAAGGGCTCCTGGGTGTTGCAGATGGCAGGAAACAGGAGGCTGTGGCTATGGCTGTGGTTGTGGCAGTGGGTGATGGGTGGGTTTTGTGGTCTTGCTAATATTTTGTGCCGAGCATCCCGGGACAATGCCACTCTCATGACTTTCCTTCTCCCTTTCTCAAGGAATGTTCCACTTGTCTGCTGCACCTCAGCCTACCCTGCTCATCTTTCCTTCAGGGGCAACCATCTTGGATGCTGGACGCTGAGGCCAGAGTGCTCGCGCATGCTGGCAACAGCACCATGGGCTTCTGCCGCAGTGACGTTGATGGTGGCAGGACCTCAGTGTCTTCCTGTGCGCAGCTGGCACACATCATGCCCCCTTGGCGATGACTCCGTAGTAGAGAAATCCCTCAAGTCTCTGAAGGACAAGAACAAGAAGCTAGAGGAAGGCGGCCCAGTGTACAGTCCTCCAGCAGAAGTGGCAGTGAGAAAGTCCCTGGGGCAGCGGGTGCTAGACGAGCTAAGGCACTACTACCACGGCTTCCGCCTGCTCTGGATCGACACCAAGATCGCTGCGCGCATGCTCTGGCGCATCCTCAATGGCCACACGCTGACACGCCGGGAGCGCAGGCAGGTAATGGGGACTGCACATTCTGTTGCCCTTGGAGCTGGCCTTGTAAACATGTTTAGGGTTTACTTGTTTGTGAAGAAAGAAGCAGTAACGCCTGTAACAAACTGAGCCTTCTCCATCCGGACCCATTGAGCTGTGCCCTGCCTGCTGGTGTTGGGCCCTCTGCTGGGTTTCTAGCACAAGGCCTGCTTTCTCTCAGAGCCAGTCTGTTTCCTGGGGGCGGGCTGCGTGCACAGCATGACTGCTGCAGGTGGCAGCCTCTTCTGTCTCACTACTTCCAGGCCTGTGTTCAGAGTGGTGCGTGCCCCTCTGGATGGGTTTGTTTTCTTCATGTTAGGTGGTCTGTGCATCTGACCCCAAGGCTCCCCATCCATTCTAGAGCCTGCGTGCTCACAGCACCTGGCTCTCACGGCTCCTGCCTTGGTGCCTGATGCCTGGCCCCTCTGTCTTTCCCAGCCTTCAGGAGAGTCTTCCTGTTTTGTCTGTCTCAGGGCCGCAGCCTGGGTGTTTCCTTCTGTTCTTTTAGTTCTTTGCAGCTGAAGTGATCTCTTTAATGAGTTCACCAAAGTTTTATTTTGTTGCTTACATTTTTATCTCCAGAAAATCAATTATTTTGCTGTTTAAATCCATTTGCTTGGTCCTTCTTGAGTTTTCAGTTCCTTCTTTCAAGTCTCCAACGATTTGGAGTAGACTTGGTGCTGGATCTGGTGTCTCCACTTTCTTGCATTCCGGGGTGGGTCCTTCTTATCACTGTCTTGCCCATGGTAGGTGTGGGTGTTTGTGATTTGGACTGTCTTCAGAGGAGTTTCACCTGTGGAGACCCTGTGTGATTTGGGTGCTGAGTGAGTTTCCCTAGCACAGATTTTTGTTTGCTTCTGTGGGTGCTATGGGCCAAGCCCATCCTCCTGGGCACGGCCTTGCCTCTTGCCTGCTTTGTCCTTCCCATCTGAGAGCATCTTACAGCTTTTAGCTCTTGGGGTTTCTCTTGCTTTCTTGTGGACTCCACTATTTACTTACTTATTTTTAAATAAGCCTTTAATTTGGGAGTAATTTTGCATTAAATAAAAGTTAGTTCAAAGACAGTACATAGAGCCTTGGATCCCTCACCCAGGTCCCCAGTGCTTCATCTCTGTTACTTTTATCATACTTTGACACCTCACTCTTAACGAAATTCCAGACTTGAGTGGAATTTCCCGCTCTCCCACCAAGGTCCTTTGCCTGATCCCAGACCCCACACTGTCTCCTGAGGCCCTGTGGTCTGTGACAGACTTGGCAGCTTTGGGGGCACCAGCTGGTGTCCTGTAGAGCAGCCCAGTCGGGGCTGGTGGCATTTGTCTCAGTGTCAGACCAGCGCCCCCTTGCCCTCTCGTCCCCAGCTCCCACCACCTGTGTGTCAGTTTTGTGGCCCAGCTGTCTACACAGGCAGAGACTACTCTCTCCCAAGGACCCAGGAGAACATGTCCAGCCATACAACTCTTTCTCCCTGGTCTGGCACTGCCCACACATGTCCCCAGCCCTGCCTCTGCCCTGAGACTGACATGCTGCCCACCACCCTGTTGACATTTCCTCCCTACTTGGGAGCTTGGGGGGCAGCCACCAGCAGTAGAAGCCAAGCTCTCCCTCCTCACCTGCTGCCTCCTCTTCCTGCTCCCTCCTCTCCATCTCTTTCTCTTCCTGCCCCCTCCTCATCTGCCCCCGCTTCTGCCCTCTCCTCTTTCTGCCCCCTCATCTCCTGCCCCCTCCTATGGGTCATCCTGTGTTTGCTCTCAGTGTGAGCAGCACTCCCCTTCCAGGAGCTCAGGCTCTTGGAGACATCTCATACTTCACACTTCCATAGTGTGTAGCCAACCCCCCAGACTCCTGGTAAGCCACCTTTGGATGTGCTCAGATTACGATCTGCCCGCCCCCACCCCGTGCTGCATGGGCTGTGGTCAGGGCTCCTCTGCATCTCCACAACAGCAAGCACGAACCTACCTTTGGGAAGGGAAGGCAGCTCACATTCAGTGCTCTCGGCGACTGCTCCCAGCCCTCACTGTCCATGTGCTGCAGAGTTGTCCTCTGATCTCATTTTCTGTGCCCTCCCATGCCAGGCCTGCTGCCCCTTCGGCAGACCCGGGCATGCTTTGGAGCCTTGGTGCTGGCCATCCCTACTCCGTCACCTCATCATCGGACCTTTCCTACGAGAACATGAGGCAACCATCAGAAAGGCCCCAAGGGCCCTGTGCTGGCAGGGCATGCCCAGGCGCCTACAGTTGCTGCCTGGTATGCCGTGTGTTTACATGTGCACTGCAGGCCAGCTGGTCACTTACATGAGGGAATTGAACTTGTGTAATAGAACATGGTTTATGCCATTAAGTGGGTGGGCGTCTGTCAGCGATAGTCCTGACACAGGTGTTCAGTGGTTGTCGGCCGCGTAATCCTCACAGAAGGGGGACATACAAACTGCTGTGTCAGTCCTCCTGGGCTCAGTGACTTCCCTAGTGAGAACTCGGGTGCTGTTGACCTTCATCAGTGTCCTGGGCCACCTCCGCTCCAGGCCAGCTGCTCTTCTAGGCATAAGACTGGATTCTAGCGCCCCTGCCCAATCCTCTGTCAGGGTGGGAGAAGGTGAGAGGGGCTTTGGGTTCTCAGTCCTGCAGTTCTGGGACCCCGTCACTCACTGGCACTTCTGCATCGTAGCACTTTCAGGACATCTGTGACCATTTACAAATTGAAGCCTTTGTTCTGCTGTCTACAGCTTGTTCAGTTTTCATGTTTGAAACTCATCAGTACTGCTGCTATGTCTGAGCAGTGTCTTCACCTTCTTAAAGATAGTCGCCTAATGCTCAGATGGCTGCAGCAGCGGGATTTGCAATTCTGCTTATGTGTTTACAGGTATTTTAGAAGTTCTTTTTGCTTTTTTTGAGTAGGAGTCTCACTCTGTCAGTCATTCAGGCTGGACAGACCTGCTGGGCTCAGACGATCCTTCTACCTCAGCCTTCCAAGTAGCTGGAACCACAGGCGCGTGCCACCACACCGCTAATTTTTTTAATTTATTGTAGAGTCGAGGTCTCGTCAAGTTTCCTGAGTCTCAAACTGGTCTCAAACTCCTGGACTCAGGCAGTCCTCTCGCCTCTGCCTCCTAAAGTGCTGGGATTACAGGCATGAGCCACCTCTCCCAGTTTAAGAAGTTATTTTATTACCTGGCATATTTTGTGAAAAGTTGTTTTATACAATCCATGTTTGAAATGAATGTTCTAGTTGATGAATAATCTCAACTTTTGACAACTGAAATTGAGACCCTTGATGTTAGGTGCATATAAAGGCATGGGGTTTTAGGAAATGCTGTGCCTTCATCTGCTTTTTAAGTGCCAGTGTTTAGCAAAATGTAGTGATAGAATGGTCTCCTCTGTGCTCTGGTAGAAACGTCTGCAGCGTAGCGGTCCCAGGCACAGTGTTTCTGTTGCAGTGGGAATGGCTTCTCACGCCTGCTGTAAGCCTAGGCTGTGTCCTTACATCCATGCTCAGAACGAGTGGAAGACTCAGACATGCTCAAGGAAACTCCAGGGCTGCTGACTCTCTCCACTTGAGTTCTCACACACCGAGCATGCAGTTGTGCTCCTTAGCGGAAGTCGCTTTCCACGCCTTCTCGGTGTCTCTTGGTTTGTGAAATAACCGATAGTTGCGTTCTAAGCTTTTCCTTCTGGTTCTTTTCTTTCGTGACAAGTTCCCAGGGAACAAGGGGCAGCTTCCTGTGCTCGGTATCTTCCTCCAAAGAGCAGGCGCAGAGGTTGCCTTCCCTCAGACAGTCTGCTCCAGGTTAATGAACCAGGGATTCCTCAGTGAGGAAGTGAGGACTTTGTTTCACTGTATCCTGGCAATTAGCTATTACTTAGGAGAGTAACTCAGACTTCTAATTTTATGCTTGTTCTCCAGAACTTTGTTGAGAGCCTTAATCTTTTTATTCTTTTGGCTGGAATTTCCTAGAGTGTCTGTTTTAGAGGGGAATAGATTGGTAGTTTGAAGAGGAAGGTTGTGTTAGGACAACAGAGTCTTATGTAGGCACTGGACACTGATGACACCATTGCTATGGCTGGGTCACACGGTGATACTCATTCCTCTTGCTCCTCTCCCTCCTTTTCTGAGACAGCTTTAAGAAGGAGAAGAGTGGAGCAGATGAGGAAGCACCAGGGCAGGGTCCTAGCAGGGGTCGGGTTTGGCAGTGGTGGCAGATCCCCTGTTGTCAGCAATAAGGTGAGAGCTTGTGGAACCCTGCTATTTTTTTCTTGGTTTGAGGTCTTGTGGATAATTTAATTTGGACAAAATGTTATTGGCCCTGATAAGTATAGAAAAGTGATTCTTAAAATTGCAACAAAGGCAAAGACAATGTATAACGATTATATGAATATTGTTCAGATGGAAGATAGATTTGAAACACTGTGGTTTACATGCCTGATACATGCTTGCTCACTGTGTCAAATAGAGTGACAAACGTGTCTGAGGATCAGTGTGGAGTGGAGGTATTTGGGAAGTCTTTGTGCTTGGATCTGGGCCCAGGGTCCTGCTGTGGGCAGGGAAATGATGTGTGTTTCTGGGACCCCTGCACCCAGGAGATCTACTGCAGCATGAGCGCTTGGAGGGCATAGTGTCAAGTTAACCCGAACAGGTTAACTCTAATGCCCTGGCCTCCAGCACTCACATTCTACTTCCTGTCTCTAGGAGTTTGAGGACTCCAGGTGCCTCGTATAAATGAAATCGCACAGGATTTGTCCTTTTTTATCTGGCTTTTTTCATGCAAGATCATGTCCTCAAGGTTCGTCCATGTTGTAGTGTGGTCAGAATTTCCTTCTTTTCTAAGACTGAGTAACATCCCACTGTGTGGAGGGACCACCTTTTTGCTTGTCCGTTCATCCACTGATGGACACTTGGGCTGCTTCCACCTTTTGGCAGTTGTCAGTTAATGAAATTTTTTTTTTTGAGTTGGAGTCTCACTCTGTCGCGCAGGCTGAAGTACAGTGACATGCCCACAGCCATTGCAGCCTCGACCCGGTCGACTCAGGTAATCCTTCTAAGAAGCCTTAGTCTTCCAAGTAGCTGGAACTACAGGCACGCACCACCATGCCCAGCTAATTTTTTGATTTATTGTAGAAATGTGAGTTCAGGCAGTCCTCTTTACCTCGGCCTCCCAAAGTGCTGGGATTATAGGTGTGAGCCACTGAGCCTGGCCAGTGCAATTTTTAAATTACACTTTCTGTCATAGTGTTTGAGATGCAACTTACTTAGGCCTAATTAAGGTAATATATACATACAATGACATGTACATATCTTAGGGGTACAACTTAATAGATTTAACAAATGGTACATGCTATGCATGACAGGCTGGGTAAGGTATGACCAGAGTCACAGGTGGTGAAAGTAGAAGATAAGAAAACAGTTATGAGCTAGGGAAGGTAGATTTGTTAAAGAGAGACACACTGTGAAGGGCATGAAAAGCAGGACAATACAGCCAGAGTGTCAGCAGTCTACTGCCATAAATTGCACTTTTTTTTTTTTTTTGAGTTGGAGTCTCACTCTGTCACCCTGTCTGGAGTGCAGTGCCCGCTCGACCTGCTGGGCTCTGACGGTCCTTCTGCCTCAGCCTTCCAAATAGCTGGAACTACAGGCGCACACTACCATGCCCGGCTAATTTTTTGATTTATTATAGAGATGAGGTCTCACCAAGTTCAAGACCCGCGGGCTCAGGCAATCCACTCACCTCAGCCTTCCAAAGAGCGAAATTACATGCTGAGCCACCGAGCCCAGTTGAATTGCACTTTCTGATTGTTGATTGCTTGTATATGAGAATACAATTGATTTTTACATATTAATCATATCTTGGAGGAGTACCAAATCAGTTATCAGTTTTATAAGCTTTTTTTGTAAATCCCATCAGAGGTTTTTTTTTTTTTAATCAGGAAAAGAGTTTGGATTTTTTTTTTTTTTGTCAGATGCTTTTTCTCTGACTATTTACAGAATCAAATAGATTTATTTATTAAATGGTTGAGATTATGAGATTGGATAAAAAAGCAAGAACTAATACATGCGCCTACCAGAAACACACCTTAAATATAGAGACACAAATAGGTTAAAAGTAAACAGATGAGAAAAGGCAAATGGTGCTGGTATTATCCAGAAGAACACTGACACAGCCATGTGGGTTCCAGACAAAACAGATCTTAGAGTAGAGTGTCACCAGAGTGCTAAGGAGGGCCATGTCATGATGCAGGAGGGTCCATTTATAAGGAGGACATGACATTCCTAAATATTGAAATACCTAATGACAGCAGCCAGATATGTGGCTGCCATGAATATGAAGTGTCCAGAGAAGGCAAATTGATAGAGGCAGAAACTAAGTCCTGCTTACCAGGGCCGGGAGTGACAATGGGGAGTAACTGCAGCTGGTGTGACAAAAATGTTGTAAGTCTGGATTTTAGCGATGGTTTTATATTCTATACATTTTCCAAAAATTGTTGAATTGTATGTTTACAATGGGTGAATGCTACAGTATGTAAATTACACCTCAGTAGAACTGCTAAAAATATTAATGGGGAATAGCGAAAAACACAGGTGCCAACTTTAAGGGTCTATTCCTGCCCAAATCTGGCATCATTTGAGAATAAAGACAGCAGTAAATTGTAAATAAGTTAAAAAAGTATATAGGAGTCCATGAGTCATGATGAAAATAAGTAGAGAAATGAATGTGCAAGAAAGTAGGGTTCTTCCTCATAGCAGATGGCAGATCTGAGACTGAGGAGGTCACTGTCTTATGCCTGTCACAGCAGGGACAGGCTTGAAAGCCAAGTCTGGAAGGAAAGGCCAGTGGGAAGAAAGACATTGAGTGTACTGAGTGTTCTCACTTGTCGCACATGGACACTTAGGAACAGGAGATCTCCGTGAGCACTGTGGAGGGCCTGGTGGACATCATGGCACTGGAAAGGGGCAGCATCATTCGTGTTGCTTTCCAACAATTGGTTGTTCAGGGTCTCACAGGGAATTCTGATGACCGCAATTGTGTATCTCTTTCTTGGCATGACGGGTTTATTTATAATGATGAAACCCTCAAGAATTTTTCATGATCACATTGTGGTGGGACTGTAGGAAGCCTGAGAAGATGCACAGCTGTCTTCCCTTTTTGTAGAGGCTCAGAGTGGGTGACGTAGCTTGGCCCTTCCCTGTGACACCCTCCCCCTCCCCACCACGCCAACAGCACCTGGTCCTTACCTGCAGCCTCCAAGCCCAGGGCTACTGGCCAGGGCCCTGAGGAATGAGTCATCAGAGCACCCAGCGCCCTGCTTTCCTGGAGTCTGGTGGCACGTGGTTTGGACCCTGAGAAAGTAGTAGGTTCAGGAGTCATCTGTTCAGTGGTTCTGGAACCTACAGCCCTTAGAGATCCCCGCTGTAGAGATCCCTGCGGTTTATGCCTTGCTTCATCCCTATGCCTGCTCTGTGTCCTGATGGCTTCCCGCCTCTCTCCAGTTTCTCCGGATCTGTGCCGACCTCTTCCGTCTGGTGCCATTCCTCGTGTTTGTGGTGGTGCCGTTCATGGAGTTCCTGCTGCCCGTGGCTGTAAAGCTCTTCCCCAACATGCTGCCATCCACATTTGAGACCCAGTCCATTAAGGTGAGCGCATTGCAGCTACATTGGCTGCCTTATGTGTGCCTGTGTCAGGCGTTAGGTATTTTTGAAACTCTGTGTGTCTTGTGTGGTCCTTCTGCTGTGCTGTAATCATTTACTAGATGCTGGGTTCCAGGTTTATCTTTAAATATGTTTTAAAATACAGTCTCTAGACCAGTGCTCTTTATGCCTCAGGGGAGACCCATTCATGGGTTTCGAGATCCCTCCAGTGCAGGGTTGACCAGCTGCAGCTCACAGGCTAGATTGGGACCTGCTGTTGTATCAACAGAGTTCTGTAGGACGTGTAACACCCAGGCTTGTGTGTCTTGTCTGTTGCGGCTCTCGTGAGGCCCCAGCAAAGTCAAGCAGTTGTTTCAGACCACACAACCCATGAAGACAGAAAGCTTTCTTTTCTAGCCCTTTATGGAAGAAGTTTGCCGTCCCCACTCTAGGTGGAGAGTGTCACACACATATTTCTTTTTTTTTTTTTTTTTTGAGTTGGAGTCTCACTCTGTCACCCAGACTGGAGTGCAGTGGCCACTCCCAGCCACCGCAGCCTCGACCTGCTGGGCTCCGGCGATCCTTCCACCTCAGCCTTCCAAGTAGCTGGAACTACAGGCACGCGCTACCACGCCTGGCTCATTTTTGATTTATTGTAGAGATGATGTCTCACCTTGCCCAGGCAGGTCTCGAACCCACGGGCTCAGGCAATCCACTCACCTCAGCCTCCCAAAGGCGCGGGATTACAGGCTGAGCCACCGAGCCTGGCTTACATATTTCTTAAAAGCATGAAATAGAAGAGAGTTTGAGAATGGGCTACACTTCCATGAGAGTCAGTGTTTTGTGAGATATTTCTCTTCATATGTCGGTGGCAGCAGGTTGTGGCATAAAGTGCTTTTCTTGTTGGAGCCAGCGTCTGAGCAGCTAGAGCCTACTCCTAAACCCATCCTCCAGTAGGCTCTGGGGGCCTGGGTGCCAGCAGGAGGTGGGTGGGAATGCAGTTTTCCTCTTTGTTCTTGCAGGAGGAGAGGTTGAAGAAGGAGCTTCGGGTCAAGCTGGAGCTGGCCAAGTTCCTCCAGGACACCATTGAGGAGATGGCCTTGAAGAATAAGGCGGCCAAGGGCAGCGCCACCAAAGACTTCTCTGCGTTCTTCCAGAAGGTGCCTTGATGCTTCTGAGCCCCTCTGGCCTCAGCCGTTGTTCCGAGGCTGGTTACAGTTCCGAGCATTGCTGGGCCTCCTCCCTTTTCTTTCTTCCTCTTTTACTGCACTCAGCAGTGCAGCGTTTCCCCAGGAGGCTTGGCTGGATGGTCGGGCCTGGCCTCCACATGTTCTCAGTGAGACTAGCTGTGGAGGTTGAGCCTCACACTCACTGATGTTTAGAGTCACTTGTGTCTTGTCACTGCAGCAGGCAGGGAGGTAGGATTTGGCAGATAAGGAACTCAAGATGCCAAAGGTGTGAGGTGTGGTCCTGGGCTGGGCTCCTCTCCAGGTGACTCCATCTGGCCGGAGTTGGTCAGGACCAGGGAGATCCCAAGGGCTGTCAGAGGCCAGGACCATGCAAGGGATGGGGGGTGGAGACAAGACAGGGATGACAAGCCCAGGGTCATTAGGCTTGAGGGACTTGTGCCACTTTCTGGAATCAAGAATATATCTGGAGTGCAGGAAAAGCTTAAATGGGGGCTGGAACCTCCAGCCTGCACCGTGTGTATTGTCCATGGTGTTTTCACGCCATGACGCACAGGGGAGTGGTTTCCATGGCCACGAAGCCAGAAATATTTGCCATCTGGCCCTTTACAGAAGGGATTGCCAAGCCGCCTGGTGATAGAGAAGTGTTGTCTGGTGAGGAGGCGGGCATAGCCATGGGGGCAGGAGCCTTCTGGGAGCCCCCAGGTTAGGGGTTGCTGGAAGGGAGGCAAGAGCCCTGGCTGGAACACTGTGCCACCAAGCGGTGGGAGGAAGGGCAGTTCACACTTTTTTGGGTCACTCAGTTCCCAAGAAGGATGTGCACGTGACTGGCAGAACTGGGGTGTTTAGGGTGGCCCCCAGGAGCGTGCCTGTAACCATTTCCTGGAACTGTTCTGCCAGTGCAGCCTGGGGAGCTCCTGGGGGTTGGTGCAGGTCAGGCTGGTCCCCTCCATCTGCCTCTCTGCTAGGGACCTCCCCAGCTTGGTTCTTGACAGCGACTGAGTGTTGGTGTGTCTGTTGGGCAGGAGACATAGACAGTCACCCAGAGGTCCCGAGTGGTCTGAGCTGAGGGGCTCTGCCTCTTCCTAAAGGTCCCGAAAGTGGACATTGGCAGGCAGGTGTCAAGGTGGCCATCCACTCCCTGATGTTCAGATCCTCATGGGTGGCAGCACAAGTATGCACTGGTGTGACCTTTTCCTGCCCAAGCAGCAGGCCTGGCATGAGGTCCAGGGTGCTTCACAGCCACTTCCATGGTGGGCAAGGTCACGGGTCTGCCCTCAGTAGACTGTGGCCTGGCTCTGCTGCCTCAGGCTAGAAAGGTCCAAGGCCAGATGCTGCTTACATGTACCAAGCCCACAGCATCACCCTGCAAGCCTGGCATGGGCAGAGGCCACAGTTTGAGTCTGAGGGGTGGAGAGCCACTCCCAGGAGGAGTGTGGGCAAGGGATGGGACTGGGTCTCTGCGAGCCTGGGCTTCCTCTGACTCACTGCTGCAGGTGTGGGGCTGGGGGCCATGCCAGTGACACCATGGATGGCCCTTGTGACTGTTACTACAGATCCGGGAGACAGGGGAGAGACCCAGCAACGAGGAGATTATGCGTTTTTCCAAGTTATTTGAGGATGAGTTGACGTTGGACAACCTGACGCGGCCACAGCTGGTGGCACTGTGCAAACTGCTGGAGCTGCAGTCCATAGGCACCAACAACTTCCTGCGCTTCCAACTCACCATGCGACTGCGCTCCATCAAGGCCGATGACAAGGTAAGCCGGGTTGCTGTGCCTTGGCACTGCCTGCTGGTCTACTTTTTTCTTTTCTTTTTTTTTGAGTTGTAGTCTCACTCTGTTGCCCAGGCTGGAGTGCAGTGGCACACTCATGGCTACTGCAGCCTTGACCTGCTGGGCTCAGACGATCCTTCCACTTCAGCCTTCCAAGTAGCTGGAACTACAGGTGTGTGCCACCATGCCCCGCTAACTTTTTTTTTTTAATTACTGTAGAGACGAGGTCTCACCAAGTTGCCCAGGCTGTTCTCAAACCCTTGATCTCAGGCAGTCCTCTCCCCTTGGCCTCCCAAAGTGCTGGGATTATAGGCCTCAGCCACTGCACCCAGACCCTTTTTCTTGGTGACAAAGGCAGTGTGTCCTCTTTGCAGACACTCGACAGGACCCTGAATGATAGAAGACAAACTTCCTGGTGGCCTTGTCACTCACAGATGGTGATGCTTGACAGTTGGTGCACTCTGCCCGTTCTGCCCTGTATGTGCGCACACACAACATGTGCTACAGGGCTGTGTCTCCTGCAGTAAATACAGGAGCCACACAACCCATGCGGTTTTTCACCTGGCAGAATAAGGCCCTCCTTCTATGCACTGAGTGGCTACTGGGAAGATGAGCTTTCATGATTGCCTAATTCACTAGATGGACACATTGTAATGTATTTAACCAACACTTCAACTTGTCTTTTTGCTGCCCTAAACAACACTGCAGTAAATATCTTTTAGCACAGACTTTTGTCCCAGATATTGGAAAATTTTCTTTAAAATGGTGACCTAGCATTGGATTTTCTGACTAAAAGGGTAGGAAGTAAAAAACAAGCCCTGTCCTGCAGAAGCTGGGGTTTAAAGATGAAAAAAAAACAACCCTGGCCCCACAGCATCCTTCCTGCCATCCTTCCCCAGCGCGCAGCTGCTGTGTGCTTCCAGGTCTGGCCTTTTTTCCAGAAGAATGAATGAAATGGCCCTCTTTTTCCCCAGTAATGCTTTTTGCCTTAAAATCCCTGGTGTCTGATATTCTGATGACTATACCAGTTTTTTTGTTGTTGTTGAGTTAAAGCCTTACTCTGTCACCCAGGCTGGAGTGCAGTGGCACACTCACGGCCACCCCAGCGTTGACTTGTAGAACTCCAGCAGTCCTTCTGCCTCAGCCTTCCAAGTAGCCGGAACTATGGATACATGCTACCGTGTCCGGCTAATTTTTGATTTATTGTAGAGATGAGGTCTTGTCAAGTTGCCCGGGCTGGTCTCGAACCCATGGGCTCAGGCATTCCACTTGCTTCTGCCTCCCAAAGTGCTGGGGAAGGCTAAACCACCGAGCCTGGCCTACACCAGCTATCTTTACAGGCTGAACCACCGAGCCTGGCCTATACCAGCTATCTTTCTGGATAGGTTGTCTGTCTGTTTTCTCTCAAGCTTCCTGATCCTTACATGTCTAATGCCTTTGTTGCTGTTTTAATCTGGTCTGACACTCTGTTGTTTACCCGGAGTGTTTAATCCATAGTAGTTCTCTATTTGTTTCCCTTGTTCTATGCTCTACTTAATATCTATCTTAATTCCCTCCTTCTTTTCTCTTTTTTTTTTTTCAAGTTGGAGTCTCACTCTGTCATCCAGACAAGAGTGCAGTGGCACACTCACAGCCACCCCAGCGTTGACCAGCTTGGCTCTGGCAATCCTTCTACCTCAGCCTTCCAAGTAGCTGGAACTACTGGCGTGCTCTACCACACCCAACTATCCTCCTTTTCTTAATCTACTTCCTTTCTTCTTTTGGATTAATTGTATTTTTTTAAAGTATCCACCCCTTCCTTAACTTATTTATTAATTGATAATTTTCCTAGAGTTCCCAGGAGCTTTGGTGACTGTATTTCACCACCTCCAGTCAGTGCTCCACCTAGAAATACTGCGGCGCCAGTGGGCTCGCCTGTGTGCATTGTCATGTCGTAGCAGTCTGCGTTGACTTCTAGACACCTCCATGTTCGCCATTCCTTCTTCCCTGAATTTCTATTTCGTGTAGATTATTTTCTTCTGCTTGAGGAATTCCTGGGCTATGAGTCTACTGTGAAGGGTATCTGAATGCGTCTTCCTTTCCCTTTCACTGTTGCGGGGTGCTTTTTTGTGTGCAGAATCCCAGCCTTGCAGTTCTGTTCTTTCTGCACTTACAGATCCCATTCTGGCAGGGTCTGTCTCCCTGTCTCCAGCAGCTCCAAAGATGTTCTCTTCATGTTGGGTTTTAGCAGTTTGGGATACTGTGCCTAGGCATGTCTGTCTCTGTGTTCATCCTGTTACCGATCCTGTACCTCCATTATTGCACAAAGTGTCTCTCTTCCCCTCAGTGACCTCATCAGCTGTCCTTCACGCCTCACCTTGCCCCATCCATCACATGGACTGTCATCTGTATTTCATGCCCTTTTGTGCCTCCAGATCACTGACTGTCTTCTTCTGGATCTGATCTGTTCTTTTAGCCATTGTAGGTGCTCTTAATTTCAATCCAGGAATTTCGGGGGGTTTTTTTGTTTTTTGGAGTCTCACTCTGTCGCCCAGGTTGGAGTGCAGCGGCACGCTCATGGCCACCCCAGTCATGAGTCAACCCGCTGGGCTCCAGCAATCTTTCTGCCCCAGCCTTCCAAGTAGCCACAACTACAGATGTGCGCTACCACACCCAGCTATTTTTTAATTTTATTGTGGAGACCAGGTCTCGCCAAATTGCCTGGGCTCGTCTTGAACCCACAGGCTCAGGCAATCCACTCGCCTCAGACTCCCAAAATGTTAGGATTACAGGCTGATCCACCGAGCCTGGCCAGGGTTTTTTGTTTGTTTGTTTGTTTAGTTCTCAGACAGGCACAGGGGCTTACACCTGTAATCCCAGCACTTTGGGAAGCTGAGGCAGGAGGGTTGCTTTAGGCCAGGAGTTTAAGACTAGCCTGGGCAATGTAGCAAGACCTCATCTCTACAAAAAATAAATAATTAGCCAGGTGTAGTGGTACACATCTATAATCTCATCTACTCAGGAGCCTGAAGCAGGAGGATTGCTTGAGCCCAGGAGTTCAAGGTTACAGTGAGCTGTGATCATGCCATTTCATTCCAGCCTAGGCAACAGAGCAAGACCCCGGCTCTTAAAAAAAAAAGGAAAGAAAAAAGATTTTAGTTCTCAGGTAAAACTGTACATTTTGTCCTATTTTCTTGAACACACTACTCATATCATAGTTCATACCTGATTACACTATGACTAGGTGGTCTGTAGGTCTTTTGCTTTTGATTTCTCTCTTGTTTGCTTATAGTATTCAGTTTTTCTTGAATGCAAGCATTGTCTGTGGAAGATTACAGCGGTTCAGTGTGGTGTTATACTTGTCTAGGAAAGGCCTACTACACTTCCGTGAGCAAGTCAAGGGGCTAGTCACCTCTACTGTGAGGGCAAAGGTCAAGTGGGGTGCCTGGACCTCCACTCTCCCAGGTGTAGCATGGTCACCAGACTCTGACTGGGACCGTGTCAGGGGAGGCTGACTGGAGATCTGGCACTTTGATCTCCACAGGTGATAATATGCCCCCATGGTGTCAGTAGAGGGCAGGTGGGGACCCTGCACGTTCCTCTCACCTGATGGCACAACACTTGCCCCCACAATGGGGGTGGGGTGGGGTCAAGGGGCCCAGCAGAGACGCAGGACTGTCATAATTGCCCAGTGGGAACAAGGCCATCTCCAGTGCAGTATCAGTGGAAGCCCAGTGAGAAGCAGTGCCTAGGTATCCCTACCCCTCTCTGCCAGGGGTCGACTTTGGGAGACCCAGTGGGACACTGGAGCTTCCATCTACCTCTCCTGTCAATAACAGGAAGCGCCTCTCCCCTGCAGTGTCCATGGAGGCCCGTTGGGGAGCCTGGGCTTCTCGTGCGGCAGTTCTCCCACCTGATCTCAAATGTGCCCGGGATTCAGTTCATGAATGTGACTAAGCAACAGCCAGAGAGAGCGGTGTTGTCGAGAGTCGGGGATTACTCAACAGCACCCCTGGAACACCTCGACACCATGGGGAACCAGCAAGTGAGCAGGGAGGGGGCAAAGCCTTCATCCTCGTGTGCCAGAGGAGCCAGATGAAGACATTTGCCTTGGCCAGAGACGGAACAGGCGTCAGGGCTTCTGGTTGTTTGTGAAAGCTGGACCGCAGGGGGATGGAACAGCTGTGGCTAGTAGTTTGGGCCTACCATTAATAGATGCCAAATCATTGGTTGCAAACTCTATAAAGTTAGTCACCATCCCATGCCAGAGTGGCCTCAGCCAGTGAGACAGAAGGTGAAAATAAGACCCAGACTCAAGAACCAGGAAGATCTAAGATGAATGAAAAAGGCAGCCTCCAGCGCCAACTCTGAGATGGCATGTCAGAAACACTGGACACAGGTCCCATCGCCGTTGTAGTGTTGCCACAAGCCACACAGATTGAAACACATGAAAAAATAGAAATTCTCAGGAGAAGAGAAGATATTAAGAAGAATCAAATGAAAACTTAGAAATGAAAAACACAATAACCCAAATAAAACACTCAGCCTGCTCGGTAGCAGAATGGAGAAGACAGAAGATAGAGTCAGGAAGCTTTAAGATAAAGTCGTAGGCCAGACACAGTGGTTCATGTCTATATAGTCCCAGCACTTTGGGAGACTGAAGTGAAAGGATCATTTGAACCCAGATTCAAACCCAGGTTCAAGGTACTGTGTGTATAGGTCTTTGGTCCCGGCTACTTGGGAGGCTGAGGCAGGATTGCTTGAGTCCAGGAGTCAAGGCTGCAGTAAGCTGTGATTGTGCCACTGCACTCCAGCCTGGTTGACAGAGTGAAACCATAACTCAAAAAAAAAAAAAAAAGAAGCTACCCATTTGAACAACAGAAAATAGTGGAAAAAAAATAAACAGAGCCCCACCACCTGTTCTGTACAAGCATCTGTGTTATCCGAGTTCCAGAAGGAAATGGCAGGGCTAAAAATGTACCTGGAGAAATAATGGCTCAGAACTTCCCAGATTCAGTAAAAGACATAAATCTGCAAACATAAGGTGCTGGGTGAACTCCAAACAGGATAAGCCCAAAGAAGTTTACACCAAGACACATAAGAGTCAGACTAATGAGCACTGAAGACAAGCTGTTTTGAAGGCGTGAGAGAAAAGGGCCTCTTTACCTATGGCAACGATAGATTCAACAACAGCGGCTTCTTGTTAGGAATCGTGGAGGCCAGAGGAAGCGGAAAAAATAGTTCAAGTGCTAGGAGGAAGGAGCTGTCAACTCAGGATCTGTAATCAGCAGAAATACAGGCATGAGGTACAAGCAAGACAATGTCAGGTGAAGGGAACCTGAGAACTTGTCTCTAACAAACCCACCCTAAAAAAATGACTGGAGGAAGAAATTCTGGGTTTGCAACTCTATTTGACCAGAACCTTTTTGGCATGGCTCAGAGTGTCTGTCCCAGTGGCAGAACTGGCTCCACCCTCGCTGCTCTGCCCAGAAAGGAAATGCTCAGCGAAGGTACCTCAGAGTCAGGAAGGAAGCTCATGGAGCAGGGTGATAGGCTGTGTGATGAAGTCTTCTCCTTGGCCTTCCTACAGCAAGCTGGGAGATCGAGGCAGGATAATAGCTCTGTGTGACGTGGTTCTTGATGACGTAGAAGAGTGGTTTGAGACACTCAGAGGCCAGGTGGGTGGGGCAGCATATACACTGCTGGAGCTGGTGAAATGACAGCACAAGTGGGGCCCCACTAGCAATGCTGCCAAGAGACCCTGAGACTTCAGAACAGAGCTCAGGTGATCCACAGGAAGACGAGGAAAAGGAGAAAGAAAATGCACTTTTTTCCTAATAAGTAACTGGAGGCAGCCCAGACATCCCCTCTGGTGAATGGTCAACACACATGAGGATGCTGCACACTCTAAAAAGGCACTGGCCTTGGACACCATGGCTGCCCTGATGGAACTTGAGGGAACCTCAGAGGTTACAGACTGCATGCTCCTATTAGGGTGCCACCCTTCAGATGACAGTGCCACATTCACAGAAAGATTTTTCTGTAAGCACCGTGAGATCTGTGGGGACAGAACTGTTGCTATCCGGACTGGACAGATGCTGCTGTGCTGTTCTGCGGATATTACTACCAGGGGAGCTTGGGGAGGATGTGAGGGCACTCTTATTCCCTACAACTGCATGTGTACCTAAGTGATGTCACAAAGTTTATTTCAGAAATGGAGGTGATGGTACGGCCCATCTCACAGGTGGTTGTGAGGTGAAATGGGTTCACCTCACAGGGGTGGGACAGACTTGGGAGCTACCCAGTGTAGATGAGGTGGCACTGGTCATCTGCCTGGCAGCAGGTGTCACTTCTGCGTTTCTTCTTGCTCCTCGCCTGGGATTCCTGTTTGCTTTTCCAGATTGGGGTCACTATAAACTCAAGCTGAGGGGAAGAAGGGGCTCCTTTGAGTCTGAGGCCAAGATACATCTTCAGAGTGTCTGGGTCCCTTCCCTCTCTCTTTCTCCTTTTTCCATCCTGGGAACACTGAGGACACTTGGGCAGATGCTGGGCCATGGGGGTCAGGAGAAACAACAGCTGGCAGGAGCAGCTGGGGCAGGGCCCCTGCCTGAGCCACACTGAGAAGGTTGGTATCCCTGAACCTTCTCAGTGTGGCTCAGGTGGGCAGAGATGGGCGTCTTTGCGTCATGGGTTGTTCCCAATCATTCTGCACTTCCCTAGCTCCTGACCCTGTCAGGCAGTTCTGATCTCTGGTCACTTTAGACCTGGCACTGGGCTTCTATGGCAGTTGTTTGTCTTGTGTGGCAACATCTGTTAGACCCTCATTCCCAGGTGTGGTAATATGACACCAGAACCCCTGACGGCCTTTTTGTGATAACCAGCTGGCTTTCCTTTCCAGCTGATTGCTGAGGAAGGGGTGGATAGCCTGAATGTCAAGGAACTGCAGTCAGCATGTCGAGCACGAGGCATGCGGGCCCTGGGCGTCACGGAAGATCGGCTGAGGGACCAGCTGAAGCAGGTGCGTGGTCTAGGGGGTTACTCAGGTAGGGTCACAGCTTCTCCTCTCATGACAGACAGCTTATCTTCCATCCAGACCCACACAGGCTCATGGGAAACTCAATGTCAGAAGGCCACTGTGAGGTCTTCTCTATCTCTGGGCGGGCCTGGTGAGGGTGCTGGGACTTCTGGGGCTGCTTGGGATGTATGGGGCTGCTCCTTAACCTTCTGGCCCCATCAAACACTCACACGCACCTGGTAGCCCTTTGCGTACTGCTTGGTTTTTCTCCTCTGCTTTTGGTTGATTTTAAAGACCTTGATAACTTACCCTTGTTTAATGATCTGTAGTCAGATGAGGACATAGGTTCACATCCTTTGCAAAGACTAGGACATGTTCATGGTTTGACTGTGTCTCTTAACTAAGGTCAGGGAACTGTAACATGACCCCTCTGACCGCCACAGCTGGCCCTTCCCTCCACCCTTCTCTGAGCAGGTGCCTGGTACACAGAGTTCCCACCCTGTGGGTTTTGTGCACCCCGCCAGGTCTCTGCTATCAAATCAAGCAGATTGTCCATTGGGAGGTGATAGCCATTCACCCTTTACATCAGAGGCTTAAAGGGTGCAGGGTTCAAGCCTGTCTCCCTCCCGACAGCCTTGGCACTAGTGATGAGCTCAGCTTGGGGATTCAGGTATGATAAGCTCATGCTTTCTGTGTGTCCACTGCAACCTTCTGGCCATTCTCAGGGCTGTCTTTCCCCACTCTCAGGGTTGGTTCTCGTCCCTTGCCCACGTTGAGTTTTGTCTTGGTCTTTCTAAGGTGTCACTAAAGCCAACATGGAGCCTGTGTTGGGCCTGCATCACTGGACAAATTCAGCATTGCTGCCAGGCCGCACATCTGCTTGGCTGGTTTTAAGTGAGAGCCTCTCCTACTCTTCAGGCATCTGGTGGCCTAGCTGCAGGGCTGGTAGCCCTCTGAGTATCTCATTGCTTGGTTTACTGAGGTGATCATCAAGCTGAGCAGCCACGCAACACAGGGACGTTTTAGAGCTTGAAGTGTCACCCGTGGAGAATGGTTCTGAGGACCTGACAGACCGTTAGCACAGAGCCTGCATGGTGGCTGCATTGTTCAAACCAGGCAGTGGAGGAGAATTCAGGGCTGAAAGCCTTGGGCCACCTTGCAGGAGATGCAGGCGAGCCAGCTGGAAGGGTGGGGCAGGGGCTGCAAGTCTGGTGAGTCTGGGGTCTTGGGTTTTAGTGGCTGGACCTGCACCTGCACCAGGAGATCCCCACATCGCTGCTCATCCTGTCCCGAGCTATGTACCTCCCGGACACCCTCTCACCTGCTGACCAGCTCAAATCCACGCTGCAGACCCTCCCAGAGATCGTGGTAGGTAGTCAGAAGGCCCCTTTTGCCCATCACTTTGTAAGTGGTCTCCTCTTCCGGGGTGGGGGAGGGGCATGGGTACACTCATTCCTCAGCCATGGGAGCCCCTGGATTCAGCCCCCCTCACTCGCACCCCTAGTTGCCGGCTCCTCCCCTCACCTGTCCCCTCATCTGTCTCCTCCTCCCTTACCTGTCCTCATCACCTCTTTCCCTCCCACTCCCCCTTCACCTGTCCCCTCTCCCTTACCTGTCCCCTACTGCTCTCCTCTCACCTGTCCTGCTCCCTTCTCACCTGTCCCCCACCCCTGCCTGATGTCCCCTGGCATGGCACAGCCACTTGCAGCACACTTTGTGAATCTGACCTTGCTGTGTGTTGGTGGCACATACAACTGTAGTGCAGCATGTAAGTTTTATGCCAGCAGTTTCTGTGTCCATCTTTTCTCTGAATATCAAGGAATCATTTGATCTTCACGGAAGGTGACCCTTGAATGCCTTCAGCCTCTCCCAACAGCAGGGTGCTCTGTCCCTTTGTGTGCAGCCCGCATGATGACAGTACTGAGATGGGGCAGGGCAGAGGGTGAGGCTCACTCTGGGCGGCTCCTCTCTGTAGGCAAAGGAAGCCCAGGTCAAGGCTGCCGAGGTGGAGGGCGAGCAGGTGGACAACAAGGCCAAGCTGGAGGCCACACTGCAGGAGGAGGCAGCCATCCAGCAGGAGCATCGTGAGAAGGAGCTGCAGAAGCTCTCGGAGGTGACGGTAAGCGGCTGCCCTGGGCCAGTCTCCTATAGAGACTCCTTCATGCTCATGCATGTGACCCTGCAGCTCTGACATGGGGACTCTTGAGGGAGAGCCACAGAGATGCCTGCTGGGACATGGCTTGGCTGTCTTTCCCTTGGTCTGGTCACCGGTCAGCAGAGAGGGGCCGGCTCAGCACTTAAGGGGCCTGGCCTCAGTGGATGGGTCGAGGCGCCGTGGGCTTCCCCAGGTCTGGCTGTGCTGCGACTCGGGCCTTGGGGTCCTCCCAGATCACTTGCTCACACATCCACCCACAGACTCGGCCTCCGGCTCTTCAAGTGAAAGAGCAGCTTGGTGAGTAGTGGGAGAGACCAGTTTTGAGATGGGGTACTCCAGCCTGTTCTGTAGCTGGGCCTGGGAGACCTGGCCAGCTCTGAGACAGCTGCGTGGAGAGTCCCCTAGGGTGAGCCTGTGGCTGGCATTCTGCCTGCTGTCACCTGGCAGGCTTGTTCCCTGCTTGGCCTGGTCATCCTGCTGAGTGAGTGCCTGAAGGTGATGAGCCGGCGCGGCCTTGCATTTCAGAAGGACGTCGAGCTGGAGGGAGTGGAAGCTGCCCCTGGGAGGCTGGTGCCCGAGCCACCGCCAGAAGTGCCTGATGTGACCCTGCGGTCAGAGACCCTGCAGGACACCGCCCCTGTGCTGGAGGGCTTGAAGGTGGCAAGGACCGGGTGGGGTGCTGGGTGTGGGCCGGGTGGCTCCCAGGGACACAGAGCTGAGGTGGGCATGGCCTAGCGTGGCAGGTGGTCATGGGGCAGAAGTGGGGGTGAGTTGACCTGGTGCCTAGTAGCCCTTGGTGAGAGGAGTGGGGAGTGGGGGGTGGGGATGAAGCCAGAAGACCCTGGGAGGTGCCAGCTGTAAAAGCGGGCCAGCCTGACTCTGGCCTCTGGGCCACTGTGCTCTGGGTGGTGGGTGCTGACACCTGTGGGTAGGCCGTTAGGCCTGTTGTCAGTCTGCCTGGGCAGTTGAAGAAAGCCACTGTGGCCACTCATGGCAGAGCTTCCCCCACAGAGGCCACGTAGTGTCACCTTCTGCTAGGTGATCTGGGCTTGGGGTGCCTCCAGAACCCCCACACCAGCCTGTGAGGGGCAGCATATCCTAGGACCTCCCCATCCTGTCGTCCTAGAGGCTTCTGTGCTACCCATGTGGGACACCTCCCAGCACTTACTGACACCCTCTGTCTTGAACTCCTGGGACAACCGTGGTATGGAGGAGCAGGTTCTAGGGTGTGTTGGGCAGAGGAAGTGTTTGCTAGACGGATAGAGATGAGTTGGCCGCTAGAGCAGGAGAGTCCTGGGTGGAAGATATTTCTAGGGAGATGTCTCCTCCTGGGGATTCCTAAGGGCTTCACAGGATGCCTTTCTGGAAGAGAATGGGCTGGCCCAGTCTCCACATTCAGTGGCCAGAGGGAAGGCTGCCCATGAGGTGGAGTGCAGGTCCCCTAGATGCAAGTGTTGCTTGTAGGGTACGGTTTGTGTTGTGTTGGCTTGGGTGGGCAGCATGGGTGAACAGCGGCCTCATCAGGAGCATCAGCAGAACAGGTAGAAGGAAAGCTGGACTGCAAGGACCCTGGGAGTTCAGCTCCACCAGGCCTATGGGAAGGATGCCCCCACCCCCAGGGTGGCAGGCAGGAGGGTTTTCGGGAAGGTCCAGCTGTGATCTGTGAGAAGATGAGAGATAAAGTGCTTGAAAATGGTTTGCATCTGGGGGGCTTTTGCCATGATGGGCCATATGGGTGATAGAGCCTGTGAGGACTTCTTTGGGAGATGGACAAGGCTTCGGATATTCAGTAGGAGGTGGAATTCCCGAGCCTCTGCCCTGCCTAATGGAGGCCAAAGGCCCAAGGAGAGCAGGTGCTGCAGTCCTGCAAAACAGACGTGTGTTGTCGTCAAGACTCGGAAGCGGAGGTCAGTGGGCAAGGACAGCAGTCCAGGGACCCTGGCCAAGCTGGGCTCAAAGGGTGACCCAGAGAAGGTGGGGGCCCTGGGCACTCCTGCACACGCTAGGGAAGCTGGACAATCAGGTGTCAGGGACTGGGACATCACCACTGTCTGTAAGGGGTGCTGGGTCCAATAGGGACCAACAGCAGAGACGGGGTCTGGCAGGGCCCACAGAACACATTTCTGGAAGGACCCATTCTGCAGGTCAACAAGGAGGAGGCACCCATCAGTAAACAGGGCAGGATGGTTGCCTGACTTCATGGAAACAGATGAATCCCATTCCAACAAATTAAAGACTTAGATGTGAAAGGAAATTTAGGCTGGGTGCGGTGGTACATGCTTATAATCCCAGCACTTTGGGAGGCTGAGGTGGGAGGCTTGGTTGAGTCCAGGAGTTTGAGACCAACCTCCAAAAATATGTATTGAAGACATTATAGCAATGCTATAATTTTTACTTCTTAAGTAGAAATTAAGAAGATGCAAAATTATACATGCAAGTGAATAATAATATGTATGTAATAATATAATAATCAGATGCATAAAATATTGGAAAAATATATCATCTGAGTGCCAGGAGTGTATGGGAGATAGAAAAATGTCTTCATTCCATTTTTCTGTATTTTCCAAATTTTCATGAACAACCTATTCATGAATTTTACCTGTAGTAAAATTATTAGGTAGAGATCAGGTGTGGTGGCTCATGCCTGTAATCCCAGCCCTTTGGGAGACTGAGGCAGAAGGATCACTGGAGCCCAGAGTTGGAGACCAACCTGGGCAACATACTGAGACTTTGTTTCTACAAAATACAAAAAAAATTAGCCATGCGTGGGGTGTGCCTGTAGTCCTAAGCTATTTAGGAGGCTGAATCAAAAGGATTGTGTGAGCCCAGGAGGTTGAGGCTGTGTTGAGCTGTGAGCATGCCACTGCACTGCAGCATAGGCAACAGAGTGAGACTTAGACTCAGGGGAAAAAAAAGTTAACAATGGAGAACATTGCAAAGATATCACAAAGAGTGAAAAAGACAAGCACCATTTTCCGTACTGGCTAGTGAAGACTGGAGTTTTCTGTCATGGCCCGTCTCTGCTCACAAGGGTGTAACCTGGTAGCTCCACTGCCAGTATGGACATTGGGTTTGTAGCTGGAACCTTTACACTAAGCAAGCCCAGGCCCAGCCAGCTTCACAGGCAAAAACCTCTGAGAGAATAAGCCCTGGACAGCTCTAGAGCTGTAGATGCTCTCGCAGAACACTGAGGAGTGTGGACTTTCCCCACCCATGCTTTGAATGAGCATTATCCAATGCCGGAGGAAGGGAAACTACAGGCCATCTCATCTATGGACGTAGGTGTGAAAGTTTCAACAAGATTTTTAGCAAATCAAATGCAACTATTCTGTAAAAAGGATCATGATCACAGGAGGTTTGTCCAAGAAATACACATTGGCTTAAATTTTTTTAAATCAGCTAAGCATAGTGGCTTACACCTGTAAGCACTTTGGATGGCCAAGGCTGGAGGACTGCTTGAGCCCAGGAGTTTGAGACCAACCTGAACGACATAGGGAGACCTCATCTCTACAAAAAATACACAGTTTAGCCAGGTGTGATGGCACGTGCCTATAGTCCCAGCAACTCTGGAGGCTGAGGCAGAAGAATCGTCTGAGCTCAGGAGGTCAAGGCTGTGGTGAGCTGTGAGCGAGCCACTGCACTGCACCCTGGGCAACGGAGTGAGACAACAATTAAAAAAAGAAAAAAAAATTAAAAACCAGTCGATGTGATTTTCTTAACAGATCAAATTAGGAAAACCACGTGTGGTCATCTCCACAGCTGCAGAAAGAACACATGCTGGAATCTAGCGTCTCCTGATGAACAACACTCTGCACATGTGGAGGGGACGCTCGGCCCAGTCAGAGTATTTGCAGAAACATCACAGCTGGACGTGTGCCCTCACCACTGTTCACAGGGCGCCAGGGGTTCTAGCCAGAACGAATGGACAAGGAAAATGAACTAAAGCAACGTAGATCGGAAAGGAAGAAGTAAAACTGTCCTCATCACAAATGATGTGATGATACAGAGATTAGCAGTGCTTTGCTGTGCTCATGAACAGAGATGAGTTTAAAAAGCATGTCATTTATAATAGCATCTCTCAGAGTGAATTCCACAGGGATAAGTTTGGAAAAATATTATGCAAGAGCGTCACACTGAGCATTAGAACATGTTGCCGAGGTGAAGAACTTGCTGAACTCATGCACGCGAAGACTCCGAGGTTGTGGAGATGCGAATTCTCCACACTGCCCTAGAGTTCCTTCAGGAGCATCACAGCCCTGCAGGGTTTTTGTTTTGTTTTGTTAAAATTGACACTTAGCACAAATGTGCATAAAAATTCGAAGGACCTAGAGTAGTCAAGGAAATCCACATAAAGTAACAGCAGTTAGAGGGTTATACTGTCTGATTCCCAGACTTTCAAAGCTACAGTAATCAAGCTGGTGTGCAGTTTGCTTAAAGGTGGGAGAAGCAAATGAACTGGATGGAGAAGAGGGTCTAGAAATAAAGCCTTGTTGATGGGCTTCTGCAAAGTCGCCAAGTCAATTTAACAGGGAAAGGGCAGTCTTTTCAGCAAACTGCTGGGACAGACAGCCGTGTGCAAAAGGAAACTTTGAGCCTTATATGACTCACACGGTATATAAAAATTAATTCAGAAAGGGTCGTAGACTTAAATGAAAGAGCGACTGCTATAAAAACTCCTAGGAGAAAACAGGAGAGAATTTTAGTAACCTCGGGTTTGTTGTAGATTTTTTTTTTTTTTGAGTCAAGAGTCTTTCTCTGTCACTCAAGGTGGAGTGCAGTGGCATGCTCACGGCCCTCGCAGCCTTGACCTGCTGGGCTCAGGTGAACTTTCCGCCTCAGCCTTCTAAGTAGCGGAACTATAGACGCACCACCACACCCAGCTAATTTTTTGATTTATTGTAGAGATGAGGTCTTGCCAGGTTGCCCAGGCTGGTCTCAAACCCGTAGGCTCAGGCAGTCCTCTCACCTCAGCCTCCCAAAGTGCAGGGATTATAGGAATGAGCCACCATGCCCGGCTGTTGTAGATTTCTTAAATACAACACAAAAACATACATAAAAGGAAAAAAATCAGTATATCAGTCTTTATCAAAATTAAAAACTTTTCCTTCAAAAAACACTTATAAAAATGAAAAGACACGTCATGGCAGGAAGAAAGCATTTGCAAAGCATGTATATACACAGGATGTCTTTCTACAGTACTTGCAAACTCTCAGAATTTAGCAGGGAGATGATGTGATTTAAAATATGAACAAACAGTGACAGAGTGAGACTCCAACTCAAATAATAATAATAATAAAAATGTGAACAAACCTTGACCAGAGAAGTTAGATAGCACATCAGTGCCGAGAAGGTGCCACACTTCACAGCCATCAGGGAAGCACAGTGAGATGCCACTTAACACCTGTGAGCAGGACTGGCACGGAGGAGCCAACTGCTTCTCCAAGAAAACACCAAGCAGTGGATGTGGCTGTCACAGCAGGAGGCCCCAGGGGCCAGGGCCATGGAACTCACAGAGGCAAGGACAAGGAGGGGATGCCGGTCACCAGGCTAGGTCAAGGACATGAAGATCAGGTCCCCTTCAGGGACTCTGAGGTCATTGGCTTCTTCCTGGGGACTCTCTCAAGGATGAGGTTTTGAAGATTATACTGGTACAAAAACAGACCTGTGCTGGCCAATGGGCCAGGTTCAAGGCGTTTGTTGCCTCTGAGGACTATGATGGCCATGTTGGTTTGCATGCTAAGTGCTTCATGAAGGTAGCCACCGCCATTCAAGGGGCCACCATCCTGCCAAGTCCCCCATTGTTATGTGCAGAGACCACTTGGTGAACAAGTTCAGTAAGCCCTATACCATCCCTTGCAAGGTGACAGACTGCTGCAGTGTGCCTTCTTCCTGCCCCAGGGGTACTGGTATCATCTTGGCCCCTGAGCCTAAGAAGCTTCTGCTGATGGCTGGTATTGATGACTGCCACATCTCACTGCATTGCTGCCCTGGGCATGGCACTTTTGTTGCCATCTCCAACACCAGTAGCTACTTAACCCTGATCTCTAGAAAGAGACTGCATTCACCAAGTCTCCCTCTCAGGAGTTCACTGACCTTTCATGAAGACCCACACTAGTCTGTGCAGAGACTACGACCTTGCATTTTTATATAGGAAAATGAAGTGAATTAAGCCTGTTAAAGAAGCTGGATCATTCCAGCTGGGAAGGGTATGGAGGGGCTTGGCCCTTGGGCCCTGCTGGGGAACACGTGGACAGCACTACAACAGTTTCCAGCTTAATCCACTCCGTAAGCAGCCGTCCTGTTCCCAGGACTTGTCCATGTGTGCAAGAATCAGAAACAAGGTGCATGACTGTCCCCAGGGAAATGGATATGCCATCTTTGATGTGGCCACTTAGTGATAAAAGGAGCACGCTGCCACAGAGATGGGTCCAAACGGAATGAGAGAGATTCAGATAAAAAAGAACAGAGTGGAAGCTGAGTGGTTCTGTTTATAAGGATTGTAGAAAGCACACTCATCTGTTGGGGCAGGAGGCAGACCCACGGCTGCCTGGGGTGGGAATGGGACCTTGTGACCATGAGGAAGTTTGGGGGTGACTGGAGTGTTCACTCTTGGCTTTGGTGAAAGCTTCACAGTTGCACACACATCAGAACTCACCTGACGACACACTTTAAGCATGCGCAGCTCACGTGTAAGGTCACCGAAAGAGTGGAGATGGCTGCTCCGTGTTTGTGTCCAGCAGGGCCCTGGACCTGAACTCTGCTGGTCTGATGTGCCCAGTGGCATTCGCCTTGGTTGTGACTCTACTGCCCAGTGCTACCCATACAATAGGAACAGAAGAGTCGGCAACCCTTGGGGGAAAAAAGCCAGCTATTCCCTTCACTCAGGCTTTGTCTGCTTGTCTGTTTCCTTCCCAGGGAGAGGAGATAACAAAGGAGGAGATCGACATCCTCAGCGATGCCTGCTCCAAGCTGCAGGAGCAGAAGAAGTCGCTCACCAAGGCGAAGGAGGAGCTGGAGCTGCTGAAGGAGGATGTCCAGGACTACAGCGAGGTGGGTCCAGGGGCACTTCAGGGCAGATGGCCTGGGTGGGATTTGTACTGAGGACTGAGACTGCACAAAGAATAACATGGCTTTATCGGCCCTCAAAATATTATCTAATACTCCATCAAATGCCTGGCTGGCCACAGGGTGTTCAGAGAAAAGACCGAGGTATAAATACAATTTTTTATCAGAAAGAAGAATTTATTAAGAGGATGGAAGAGCTCCCACAGTGGGAGGAGACCCAAGGGGGTTGCCCTAAATACATTTTAATAATAACTTTTTCGGCCAGGCTCAGTGGCTCAGCAGCTCAACCTATTATCCCAGCACTTTGGGAGGCCGAGGCAAGTGGATTGCCTGAGCCCGTGGGTTCGAGACCAGCTTGGGCAACTTGGTGAGACCTTGTCTCTACAATAAATTTTTAAAATTAGCCGAGTGTGGTAATGTGTGCCTGTAGTTCCGGCTACTTGGAAGGCTGAGGTGGAAGGACCGCTGGAGCCCAGCAGGTCGACGCTGTGGTGGCTGTGAGTGTGCTGCTGCACTCCAGCCTGGGCGACAGAGTGAGACGCCAACTCAAAAAAATAAAAATAACTTTTTCATAGCCATTCTGGCTGAATCACTCTTCTAGAATGTGACTGAGGCTCTCTTAGCCTCTAAACACGTGAAGGAGTCACATGTGGAGTTAGGTTACTTGATGAATGATATCTTATTGGTGATTCCCAAAAGAGACTTTCTTTCCTCCTTACATGGTGATGGGGTTTTTTTTGTTGTTTTGGGGGGGGGGGGTTTGAGTTGGGGCCTCCTCTGTGGCCTAGGCTGGAGTGCAGTGACACACTTACAGCCACCACAACTTCGACCTGCTGGGTTCAGGCGATCCTTCTGCTTTAGCTTTCCAAGTAGCTAGAACTACAGGTGTGTACCACCACACGCAGCTAATTATTTTTTTTGTAGAGATGAGCTCTCACCATGTTTCCCAGGCTGGTCTCCAACCTGTGGGCTCAGGCAGTCTTCTTTTATCTTCCTCCAAAAGTGCTGGGATTATGGGCGTGAGCACCACACCTGGCCTTTTTTTTTTTTTTAATATCAACTCCTCAGCCAGGTGCAGTGGCACACACTGTCCAACACTTTGGGAGGCCAAGGTGGAGGGATCACTTGAGGCCAGGAGTTCAAGACCAGCCTGGGCAACATATCGAGACCACGCCTCTACCAAAAGAATTGCTTCTAATAATCTGATTTAAAACTGTGTTTTCATATCTCTGTTGAGAAAGATGTTGAGATTGGTAAAAATAATTTTCCAGTCTCTGGATTTTCTCATGGCTGCCCTCTTGCCAGGTCTCTACCAGACATGGTGTTTACCACTCACTCAGCCTGTGTTCCCATCCCCTTCCCTCTTCCCATTCTTCCTGTGATGTCTGCTTGTAAGGAGAAAGTGACTTGGAATTTAAGAAGACACTTAAATTCCTTGATTCATTCATTCATTCATTCTTCTTTAACAAATATGAAGAAAGTTGCGATTCATAATAGATCCTATTGTCTTTGCTATGAAAGCAGTGTTTGGGCCGGGCTCAGTGACTCAGCCTGTAATTCCAGCGCTTTGGGAAGCTGAGGCAAGTGGATTGCCTGAGCCTGTGGGTTCGATACCCACCTGGGCAACTTGGTGAGACCTCGTCTCTACAATAAATCAAAAATAAGCTGGGCATGGTAGTGCGCGCCTGTAGTTCCAGCTACTTGGAAGGCTGAGGCAGAAGGATCACCCAGCAGGTTGAGGCTGTGGTGACCGGGAGCATACCACTGCACTCCAGTCTGGGCAACAGAGTGAGACTCCAATTCAAAAAAAGAAAGCAGTGTTTGAGTGGACAAAAATAGGAAATTTTTATGATTGATAGCAATAATTTTCTGTGTAATTTTTCTGTGTAATTTTCTGTGGTTGGAATTAATAGGTTCAGTTACTTTTACAAGTTTGACTTAATTTAAGGTCCCTATTTCCTAAGACAAACTTTTTTTTTAACTTTTTACAACTAAAAATAATTTCACTAGGACTTGCAAGAGATCAAGAAGGAACTTTCCAAAACTGGTGAAGAGAAATACGTGGAAGAATCCAAAGCCAGCAAGAGACTGACGAAGAGGGTACAGCAGATGATTGGGCAGATTGACGGCCTCATCTCACAGCTGGAGATGGGCCAGCAAGCTGGCAGGTTGGGCCCAGCTGAGGGCACGCCCATGGGGTGAGTCACTGAGCTCACAGCTGCCTTGCTGGACCTCCTCTGCTGGGTTCCTCTGCTCCCGAGGGCCTGTCTTGGTGCCCTTGCACCTCTGACCAGTGGTGCCGCTAGAGGCCGAGGGCATCTCTGTTCACTCTCCCTCTCTTGCACACCTTCAGTCTCCATGCCTCTGTGAGGAGTCCTCTTCCTGAGCTGCTTCTGTGCCTTGCACACTTCCACCTTGGCCCCTCTTGGCTCCTGTTCCTTCACACTGCCACGCTCTTTCCTGCCTCCTCCCCTCCTGAGCCCCCCACATGCAGTGATGATCCCCACAGGGAACTGTCCCTGGTGTGTCCTAGACCCCTGCAGCACGTCAGTTCCTGCTGGGCAAATGAAACAGCTGCACAGTGTCAGCTAATGTCTTGCACCCTGTAGCCAGTGCTGTGCCTGGGCTTCCTAAAATCCAGATCCCACCATCCCACCCTTCAGCGTGGCAGGCACCTGACCACAGAGCCCTGTTCACGTCTCTGCTCCCAGAGGCCTTTGTCCACCCCAAACAAGGGCATGTTTCCTTTGTGTTGACCTGCTGGCCGCCTTCGTCACCTGCCCAGGGCTCCTCCTCCCCTCACAGGTCAGAAGCAGCATAGCTGCCACAGACCTGAGGACTACTGCCCAACAACCATGGCTGTCACGTCTGTGGGGCCCTTACCCTGCCTTGGCCTTGGGGGGAGCGTATGAACTGGGAGATGGACACAAACGGGAGCCCTGGAGCCCTCGGTGTTTCTGTGTTTATGCCTGAGTTGGCCAGGTAGTCCTAGGGAACATGCATGGGAACTCTTGGCAGAGTATAGGGGATCACACCGTGGGGGCCACACTGAAGGTCACCTAGTCCGTGCAGGTCCACCTGGGTCAGGCCTGATGGGTTGGAGTCATGGATGAGCAGAGAGGCCCCATGGAGCAGGACACCTGTCCAATGTCACATGCAGGCTGTTTCCCCAGGGAGAACGTCATCAGTGTCACTGAGCTCATCAGCGCCATGAAGCAAATCAAGCACATTCCAGAAAACAAGCTAATCAGCTTGGCCTCAGCCCTGGATGAAAACAACGACGGCAGGATCAACATCGATGACCTTGTCAAGGTGGGTCTCTGGGATGAGCTGGGCAGGCTGGCCTGGTGTCCTCCTGCTCCGGGGCTGGGAGCAGGGTGCTTGTTGCTGAGCCCAGAGCCCACGTGAGCAGCCCCCTCTCGTTGCCTCTAGTCAGGGGCCAGGTTGGTAGTGTCAAAACATGGGAGATGAGAGATGATCAGCATTCAAGGTCAAAAAGTCTTAAACTCAACAAAGTGAGTCTCATGGATGGACTTCTCACTGGAGCATGTTCTTCCGGGACCCACGCCCCTGCCCTCCTGCCGCCCAGCTCCCACTCTGAACGCACAACCACTTTTAGGGCAGTGTCCTGGGAGTGTCCCCTAGAGCAGCCTGCCTGGCTGTTGAACGAACCCCGGACACCCCCCATCTCTAGCACAGCTTGGGGCCTGAACCCAGTCTGGAAGGCTGAGTGGTGAGGAGCACCCTAGAAGGCCTGTGGGGTGACCGGTGGACCGAGCTCCCAAGTGTAGCCACCTGGCTTCCAGGTCAGCCCAGGAGCCAGCCCATGTGGGATATCTGGATCCTCACCTGGTTGTGTGCGCTGACCTTCCTAATCCTTATTTCTGAGGGGGAACTGTGTGTCTGGCAAGTTAGTGATTTTCCAGACTATTACTGGAAATACTGGCTAGTTTTTTCTGGCCAATTTAGGAGCAAGGCACTGACAGACACGCATGCCAAGCATTCTCTCCTCCCCCTCCTTAGTCTGTCTTTCTCTGCTGTGTCAGCCCCCTGGCCTCTTGTGCTCTGAGCCCCTCCATGGGACTTGTGACCAGGCCTGGGTCTTTGGAGCTCATTGGCAACCCCTGGGGTTCTGGTGCTCCAAGGACCAGGGCAGCTGGAGGACCCCAGGGGCCCCAGCAGGCAGGAAGTACACGCAGGCCAACGCCACCTAGCCCAGGCATCTGCGGCAGGAAGGGTGAGGAAGGGCACTTGTTCCTGCCTCCCTGCACTCAGGCGGTATGTGGCCAGGCCCTGAGTCCTCCCTTGCCCACTTGAGCAGGTGATCGAGCTGGTGGACAAGGAAGATGTCCACGTCTCCACCAGCCAGGTGGCCGAGATCGTGGCGACGCTGGAGAAGGAGGAGAAGGTGGAAGAGAAGGAGAAGGCCAAGGAGAAGGCAGAGAAGGAGGCGGCTGAGGTGAAGAGCTAGGACTGCCACCTGCTGCTGTGCCACCACCATGAGGACTGAGAGGGGTTGCTTTGAGGTGATTCTTAGTGGCAAATCTCGTGTTTTGGCTGGAATAAATCAGAAACTTCCATAATCAAGTAAATTTTGATTTTCGTCATTCCACGAAGATTCGATAGTTCTGGAAGCCCGGAGCCCTCCAGGGAATCGTGTCTGGACCCACACTATGGTGTGGCGTGGCTGCTGTGCCAGGCTGCAGCTCTCTGGCCCCTGGCCCAGAGGTAGCTGGGCTAGGCTGGGGCAAGAAGGCACCTCCCCACCTGTGCCCTCACAGCTTGGCATCTGCCACTCACGCAGAGCTGGGCCCTGTGCCTGCACATCAGGACAGGATAGGGCAGCCCAGCTTCCGCGGCGCTGAAGAAGATGCCTCGGCCCATCTGTGGACTTCGATTTCTAAATGTCAGTGTAAATAGACCAGTCTCTTCGTGCACACTTTCAAAGTCAGATCTGTATGACTGTGGAGACCAAAGTGACCGCCAGCCTCTCAGTGGCCTCTGGAGAATGACATCTCTCCCAGCAGGAATGCCGGTTCTCGTGTGATTTCCCATTTGTGTTTATTGGAGCTTTCTTGATTTCCCTTTTATCTTCACCTAACTCTTTCATCAGTTGATAGTACAGAATTTTCACGTGTGACCGTGAAACTGCCTAACTTGAGTCGCTCTGACCCACGTTGGGCTGTGAGCGCGGCCAGCGAAGCCCTGGGCGGCAAGCAGCTTGCACTGCATGACTGGTGCTGCTGTGCTTCAGGTGCTGTGCATTGTGCCAGGGCTGGAGGAACAGCCTGGCCTAGGGACTCTGCAGCCCACGCAGCATGGCAGGACCCTCTTGGAGTGCATGGGGGCATCTTTGTGACTTGTATGTCAAATGTAAGCGTGCCCACAACTGCACTCTTGCTGAGTTCCTCGGTGTGTTTCTTGGCTTGGGTCCCCCGGCTCCAACACATGAGCTGGACACAGGGAGTGAGGACATGTGGCACAGATATCCACAGGGGCCTTGGAATTGCCCTCTCTGGGCTGGGCATCCCTGGCTCTTATAGAGCAGCTGGCGGCCCCGGCAGGACAGTAGGGGTGGGCCAGAGCATCCTGCAGCCTCACCTCCATCTTCCTGCCTGGCTGTCACACTTGCCCTTCTGTGGCTTAGTTCCTGGTAAGAATGTCCTTTCCAGGCTTCACATGTAGGAACTGGAAGACATTGCCACAGCACATGGAGGGCCAACTAGCCAGGAAGGGCAGCAGCTCAGATGACACCTTCTCAGTTACTTGAAACTTCTTTCACATAGCTGTTAGAGAAGTAGCTTGACAGATAGGAATCAGGTATAACCTTTGTGGAGTGACAGTTGGCTTCTAACAGTTTTTGATGAGTATTTGAGAAAGAAGTATCTTAGATGTCTGATGAATATTTATGAACCCCCTGCCCTGTGTCAGTCACTTGCAGTTGACAAAGTGTACTTACTTGTGAGAGGATGCTTTGCGGTTGCCAAATGTGTCCACAGGATAGAGTCTTGTATGAGCGGCATCTTGGGCCCAGGTGGCTGTGCAGTCCTTGTCCTCGTCCTCCCTGCCCTCCCTGGGTACTGTAACATCCCCGCCCTGGGCAGCAGTCCCTCGTCCCCTTTGCCCTGGCCCTGGAAAGCCATGGCCTCCTGGATGCTGCAGAGCTTTGTGCATGGGGGGGTCTGTGGGTGCCATTGTCAGGTCCAGCAGCGTTGGCCGAGGTCTGGTACGGACTCCTCCCTGGTTCTGTTTGTGTTTCTGAGCGTCCTGCACTCTGTCTGCTGCACCTGAGGGTGGTGTCCAGGGGCAGCTTCATGTTGTGTCCCACCGTGCCTGAGCCCTCACCTCAGGCTTGCTCCGGAGCTGGGACAGCTACGCCTGTCAACAGTGAACCCAGAACTGACGTGGGACCCGGTGTCCTCTCCTCACTCCACTTGGGTGCCGCAAGATTCAGGAAACTGGCATGTGGCTTCCAAATTCATCTTGGAATATCATGGAGTCGGCTTTTTAAAGGTGAAGGACACTGTGGAGTTTTTGAAAACACCCTTCCAAGGTGGCTGTCGCAGCAGGTTCTGGCGCTGATGGAGAGTGAGCGCTAGCTCCATGTGTCCTTAGGGCCTGGGCAGCTCTGCTGAGAGCCCTGTCCCAAGGCCATGTCAAACACCTTTTGTAGAAATAGTATTTTTATGAAAACATCAAACTTACGTTCCTGTGACAGTACAGAGTAGCATTTCTGATGCGTACGACACGCACAGCTCCCACAGGCATGTATCTGGGAGGAACGTCATGTCCTCAGGTTCCTGAGTGCTGTGTCACCTTCCATGAACTTGGACCTTGGCTCCAGGCCTCCTACCTTGGGGCAGGTCTGCAGGGTCGGGAGACCCGTGTCTCCTGTCCTGTGACAGCGGACACTGCACCTGGAAGCGGGATTCCCTCCCTTGTCTGGTGTCACACTGTGCCATGTGGCCATGTGCTTTCTAGACACACCGTTTGATGGAAGGAGATGATTTAATAAAGCACCGTCTTAACAACTCGTCTGCCATGTGATGGTTTGTCCAGGCTGGTGACCCTACCACCTCCTCACACTTTCCATCCCCCACAGGGACCTCAGTGCATGCCTTGTGCTGGAGGAGTCCTGGGGCCCAAATACCCAACTCCAGGTGGGCTTCCTGACTGAAGGCCCACAGGCTTAGGCGCTGGGGAGTGGAGCCAATTTCCCAGGTGGGTGGGGGCTGGGACCCCGGCAGAGGTGTAACAGGAAGGCCTCCTCTTCTGAAAGACTCCTGGGGTATCTGGCAGATGGGTGCTCTCCTCTGACCACGGCATGCCTCCCACCCACCATCAGGGCCCAGGTTATGCAGATGGCATAGAGGTATGAGGTAGTCCCCAGCCCACGGCTCTGGGTGCCCGCTCTGCGGTGGCCCTGCTGGGAGGGTGAACAGAGGGTCCCAGCAGCAGGACAGAAGCCGGACATGTTAACTCCTGACCCTCCCTCAGTAGACTGCCCACCCTGGCCCAGGACACCAGCCTGTCGGGTGCCTCAGCCCCATGTGGGCACCAGGCTCCGTGGGTGCCCATGGGCTTCTTCCCATGGCGCTGTCAGCTGCCTGTGTTCTTGCTTACGCCCTCCCTTGGGGGTTCACTAGACCCCCAAGCCTCTGGGCACAGCCCTGTGAGCCCGAGGGCAGATAGCCTGAGCTGGCTACCATGGGTGCCTCTGCAAAGCTGACCCTGGGTCTGAGCCCATTTCTCCAGATGCTCTTAGGAGTTTTCCAAGAGAACTCCTGGGCTTGAGAAACACCGGCCCTGGGATGGGAAGTGCTTGCTGGGGAGGAACCAGACCAAAAGAGCAGTACAGAGCGACTTGTGGACAGGGGAGAGCCAGGCTCTGTCAACCTTGGTGAGCTGGGCCAGCAGGGAACACATCACACAACCCACACGGACTGCCAGCCATGACGGGCACTGGGCCTGACGCGTGCCATGGCGCCACAACAAACCGTCAGCAGAGGGCAGAGTAGGGACTCCGACAGACTAAGGACCCAACCGCCACAGGTCCCTGATTTGACAGCTGACCATGCCTCAGTGGGGCGATTTGGGGCATTCAGCTATGGTGACAGTGGGAGTCCCTTCTGTGTTCCACTTATGGGGCAAGGGTGGCAGTCTGGAAGCCCCTGGTGGGGCTGCGGAGGAAGGGGTGGCCTGCTGTCAACCCCGCCCCCACCCAGGTCCAAGCCTCTTGGTCCCGAATGCTCACTCACAGCCCAACTGTGTCCACCTGGGTTCAGCAGGGACCGGCCGGAGAGGGACCTGCAGTGGCTATGAAGACACAGACTAACCCAGCACTAGGGGGTACTCCAACCTGGACTGCCTGCCCTGACCTTTGGCCCCCCTCTAGCCTAAAACTTCCTCTGACCTGTCTATGCCACAGACTCCTGAGTGCCCCCTATCCTGGTCACTGCCATCAGGTGTTCCATAGCCGGACCAGCTAGGACTCCTAGGTCCTTGTGGGGTCACTGCATCCTTTTTCCCCACCAAGACTGCACTGCGCCCACATATGCTTCCCTGAGCAGGCTCTGGGCCTTAGACCCTGCAGCCTGGCCTACCCGGGAAACAGACCTGGATCTGCCCCACCTGGAGGGTGGATTCTGACATGGCCAAAGGGGAGCAAATTTCCTAGAAGCCAGAGTCAAAGCTCCTGCAGCCCAGCGGCTGGGAAGCCTTGTGAGACAAGGACAGCAGGGAAGGAAGAAGGGAGTGGGAGACAGCACATCTCTTCCAGGAAGCTTCCCAGTCTTAACTTGCACCCTGCAGGGGCTGTGAACTGGGAGGGGACCAGCCAACACTACAGCATCTGCTTGAGGCACAGGCATTACTGTGGCATGCGGGGACACTGCAGGAGCCCAAGGGGAGTGCCAGGGCTGGGATGGGGAGACCACCTATGTCCATGTGAGTCAGAGTCTCACTCCGTCGCCCAGGCTGGAGTGCAGTGACACGCTCACGGTCACCCCAGTGTCAATTGGCTGGGCTCTGGCAATCCTACTGCCTTAAATTTATTATGTATTGTAGAGACGAGCTCTCGCCAAGTTGCCCGGGCTGGTCTCGAACCCGCGGGCTCATGCAATCCACTCGCCTCGGCCTCCCCAAGTGCTGGGATTACAGGCTGAGTCACCGAGCCAGGCCTGTGAGGGTCTTTTTCTGCATGCAGCTTCACGGGGCATACACCTGGAAGCTTACTCAGCTGTTTGGGCAGATGCTGGGGTGGAGTGATGGTGGGGGAAGCCCTTGGAACCGGTGTAGAGCTCCTCACAGGAGACCCTGATTCACAGGCCAAGAGCTGGGCAGGGGAGGCAGCCAGGAACTAGACACATCCAGAGCCATCCTGCTCACTCCTAAGGGGCCGCCTCTCATAGACAGTGACTCTTCTGCCCTCAGACCCCAGGGATTGAGGTGTTGCCCCAACGCTGGCCCCGCACCCGGCCTCCCCCGGGGCTCCCCCGGGGCTTGTCTTTTCAGGTGTTGGACCCCAGCAGATTAGCACCTCCACCCATCCCTCCCCTTGGGGGACAGACACAACATGGAACTGCCCCAACCCAGAAAAAAGGAGGCAAGAAGGCATGCAGCAGAGATAGGAACCAGTCGTTTCTTTATTTTGGGGAACTGACGTCTGCTGGTCTAACAAGATCTCGTCTGTTGGGTGGGTCGACACCTTCGGTCACCTTGCGCAGGGCCCGGGAAGAGAGTGGGTGCCCTACCGACCACCCAGCTGACCTGTGAGGGACGGCCACCCCCACGCAAGGGCCATGAACAGTACAAAAAGGAACGAGCCTTAATTCATGACTCCCTTCCGAGCTTTGAAAGGTAGCAGTCTGGGCTATAAAAATCTAGAAGCATTGCGTAAGAAGTGTTAAGTCTACAGCAAATACGTCTTGTAAAAACTCAATAAATTACATATATAGATATATATAAACTTGTAACATCTAATAACATCTGAACCTGCGAGCAGGGCCGGCCCCTCCCTGGAAACCGCCTCCTGCTGGGGGGAACACAGCAATTAGAAGAATCTGTACGAAAACGCCAGCTGGCTTTGAAGTCCAAAAAAATACATCTCCTAAAGAAAAATACTATAGAAACCTAATTCCCCTGCAAAAGGCCAAAGCAAAGCAAACATCCTCCCTGGAACCCAACTATGACGACCTCTTAGGCTCCGGGGGCTGCCCCAGCCTCAGGAGCAGGCGACCCTCTAAATGCTCAGACCTTCCCAGCTGTTAATAAGTTAAAACTTAAAACTCTCTGCCACGTGGCTGGCTACACGCTACAGCGTGGGAGTGGGGACGGGGTGGCAGGTCGATAAATAGCTTTACAAATATACAGGTCCAGGTACAATTTTTAAAACAAAACTGCGGTGCCAGAAAATCCTCTGCTGTGTCTGTGTCAATCTCAGCAGCGAGTCCCTGGGGGCCACCCCTGCCAGGCAGCCCCCGCCTCCCGCACCCCGGGCCTGGCCTCTGCTGTCCCAGCCTTCTCTTCTTCCGTATATTTTATATCTATGTATGTATATATATCATATACACAGCATCTATTTATAGAAATGTACACTTGTTTCTGGAATAAACCTTTCAGATAGAAGTTATAGGCTCCCACCTTCAGGTACCCGTAATTTCAGTCTCTGAGGGACAGGGTGGGACGTGAGGGGCTGGGGAGGCCCCAGGTGCAAGGTGCCGTGCGGGCAGGAGGCTCGCTGTGTGTGCGACCCTCAGGCTACGCTTTGGGCACAGGAGGGGCTGAGGCCCGACCCGGCTGGGAGCCCGGCCAACCCGGGGTGCCCCCCCGTGGGGCTGGGGAAAGGAAGCCCGGCCACGGCAGTCTGGCCCAGCTTCCTGCCCCAAGGAGTCCCACAGGGTGGCCTCCTTACATTCTACAGAGCAAAAGTTCCCTTGGTGCTGCCAGCACTGGTCAGAAGGTCATGGTACAGCAGCACAGGCACCCTGGTGACCTCTGCACCTGGCGTTGCAAGACATGTACACATCCACATCCAAACACACACACACAC